ATTGATGCAACTGAAATTTTTCAACAAACAATTGCAACACTAGAAATGCTCATTTAGCTATGCCAAAAATATTTGGAAGACAACTACCTGGCCAACTGCCTGGAAGAGATTCCTATCTGTGGCTATTCCAAAGAAAAGTCATTCAACAGCATGTGGAAGTTATGTAACAATAGCATTCGCAACAGAGGCAGGTACAGTTTTGGCTGAAGATAATTCAAGAACGATTACAGCAATACAGCAACAGGTAAAACTGCCAGAAAGTCAACCTGGATTCAGAGGAGAATGTGGAGTGGACAAAATCCTTGCTGACGCCAGATGGATATTAGCCAAAAGGCGAGAAGACCAGAAAGATATTGACTTATTCGTGTTTCATTGACTATGGAAAGGCAATCAACTGTGTGGATCATAACAAACTATGGATCACATTGAGAAGAACGGGAATCCCAGAACACTTCATTGTGCTCACGTTGAACCTGTGCACAGACCAAGAGGCAGTCATTCAAATGAGCAAGAGGCTCCTCGTACTGGGCGTATCATCAACAAAAGTGCGTATCAGGTTTGTACCGTTTCATCAGACCTAGTCAATCAGTACACTGAATAAATAAGCAGAGAAGATGGACTATTTCAAAGCTTCTGAAACTGAATGTGGGGGAGTCACAAAACATTGGCCACAGTAAAAGTTCTCAGAACCCGCCACAACCAAAATGCAATTTCAACTCCATGCGTCATGAATCTGAGGTGTGTCTGCTGTGGCAAACGTCTCAGGCACCAAGGGGTTTCGGAGCAGAAAAGGGTTAAGAAGCCCTGGATCTGGGGAAGACTCATTCACAACCCCAGAGACGCAAAGGAAGGACACTACTTTGCTTGCTGAACGTGAAGAGAATGGTCTTCCACCGTGAGTGTGAATGGAGTGGAAGTTGACTGAGAAAACTGGTTTTCCAGTCAACAGTCTGTATACATGTTGTTCTGTGCCCTTGATCACAGGCCCACCGTGAGCTGACTTGACACGTTCTTCATATGCTCCCTGTGTTTCCCATGTCCCTTTCCTGTCCCCAAAGGCTGCCCTTTGGTTCCCATATGGTTGACTGCTCTATGGAGCAGGGGGCCTCCCTGGGGTTATTGTCTACCAGTCAAGCTTGCCTATTGTTTGCCTGGAAACTCACCGGGGCGGGTGGATTCCGTTCCAGGCTTAAAGGGTCATGGTCTCTGAAGTGCCACTGGTGTCTATCGGACCAGCACGATTGATCTTTTTTATCATTTATATTTTGAGTTTTGTTCCACATTTCCGCCCCCATTCTCTCTAGGATGGTCCGTTGTGTTCCCTTTCAGAGTGATCAGTAGCGGTAGCTGGGCACCATCTAGTTCTTCTGGTCTCATGGTCCTGGGGGCTAAGGATCACATGCTTGATTAGTATTTTGGACCAATTATTCGCAGACAGCGTTGATCTCCTTCGCTCTTCTTTACTCCTACAGGGAAGCCAACTAAGAGGGTGACTTAAAAGCTTTTAGGTCTCCCAAATACTGCTTCACCAGACAGGAAGTCAAACATTGTCTTTGTGGACCATTTTATGTCTCCCATGACGATTGCCCTGAGCTCCCAGAGCCGGTAGGTCATTCCCTCGAGATGATTGGCTATGGTGATCGTTCATAACTTTGCCCCTGTCTGCTCCACCACAGTCCTGGGTATATTTGTATAATAGATAAATACACATAGAAGTAATTGTCGCCCAAGATTATAAATGTCCGTGGGTATCGTTGCTTTTACCCACACATCGCTGTTCGTCTTGCCTGTGTATCTACCTATCGACTCACAGATTAATGTTTATTATTACTGATAGGGCAGGATTGATTATTTGTGCAATAGTCGTTACCTTTGCTGTCTATCACACTCATGTACCTCTCCGTGTTTTTCCGCCCCCCTTGGGAATATTTGCTGATCAGCCACTTTGTGCATACTGCCTTTCCCCTGAAGATGAGGAGACTCAAAGCTTGTGCTGACGAAGATCAAAGACCACTGGCTTCTTTATGGAGCACACCTTTACAGCAACCGGACAACCAGGTCAGGTAGTCACATCATGATAAACAACGGCGAGAGTGAGGTTGTCAAGGGCTTCATTTTACTCGGATCCATAATGAATATCCATAGAGACAGCAGTGAAGAAATCAACTAACAGATTGCATTGGGAAAATTTGCTGCAAATAACATCTTTCAAGTATTAAAAAGCAAAGTTGTCATTTTAAGGACTAAAGTGTGCCTGACCCAAGCCATATCTTCCGTTGCCTTAGACGCATGTATGGAAGCTGGGCCATGAATATAAGCCAGAGAATTCATGCCCCGAATTATGGTGTTGGCAAAGCGGACTAAAAGGACCATGAACCGGAAGAAGAGACAAATCTGTCTTGGAAGAAAAATGGAGGAACACTCCTGTATTAGTCTGGGTACTTTGGAGAAACAAATCCACAGCAACTCATG